TAACTATGATGATTTAAAGTGCTAAAATAAGGGTCAGTACACAGTGTCTCTTAAAACTATTAAATATAAAATGTATCTCAGATTTGTAGGCATGCTCTTTTAATAAAAAAGCCCCAAAAGGTTTATCACATGACTGTATTACTGGCTTATTTCTTATGTGTTTCTGCTTTATTTCTGTGTATAAATAGTATTTCTCAAAATCGTATTACCAAACGTGACTTTTGTACATTTTAATGGCCATGTGTATAATCGGGCATACATATATTAAACCTTTCATACAAGTTTTAGGAATGTGGTTTTATTTAAATGATTGGACCACTTGACCAACAGGTGCTTTATTTTGAATATTTTACATTTGTGTCATATCAGATTGATCTGATCAATATCAGTCAGCGCTGAGGTTATCACCGCCTGGTCTCGAATACGTGCCTCCCAGGGTCATCCTGCTTGTTGGACTTGCATTGTTCTTATTGTCTCTTATTCAGGTTTTACTGAGAAAATACAGCAGCCTCTCGTCTCTCTTTGTTTGGCACCCAGGTTCAAAACACATTCTTTGAATTCTTGACTCCTATCTTTAAATCAGTGTTCTTTCCCCACACAAAGCCCTCTATCATAAAACTAAGCTCACTATGTCCCCGCCAACATGTTGTTGCTTTTTAATTATGGTACTTTATTCATTGAAATTATGGCTGTTTTTATTTACATTTTTTGACATGTCGTAGCGTGTATTGTTTATAATACGACTAATTTAGTGATTTATTTTATATCCAATAAGTTCATAGATACAGGTATCATGTAGATAGAGGTATATATATCATGTAAAACACATATTTTATGTCTTTACATTTTGTCAGTTTATTTGGTACACCTGTGCAATTGTGAGTTAACACACCTGTCTAATAGGCCAATCCGGGGTCAGCAACCTAATGCATTTAGACATGTGGACATGGTGATCTGCTGAAGTTTAAACCAATCATCAGAATGGAGGAGAAACTTGTTTAGGTTTCCTGAATGTAGCATAGTTGGTAGTGCCAGACAGGCTGGTTTGAAGTTTTTAACAGTTTTATTTTTCATGCATACAGTCTCTAGAATTTGCAGAGAATGGCCTTATAAAAGAAAATATATAGTGAGATCACATTGGCTGGTAAGAGATTTGCTTTAAAGGGCCCTCTTGCCCAAATAAAGTGCGCTGATACAACCAATGAAGAGGTTACAAATATCTAATAGAATGTCTGCACACACACACACACACACACACACACACACACACACACACACACACACACACACACACACACACACACACACACACACACACACACACACACACACACACACACACACAGAATTAAACAAATTGAAATGTTGGATAATTTTGCAATTTCCTGTAAGAAGTCACATGGTGTGGACAGTTAAATCAATTGGACATCAATATACTGTACTGTTTCACAGTTTATGGTTTTGTTATGTGCTGCGCTAAAGGAAGTGAAATTCTCTTAGTGTGAACTGCTCTTTCCAGGTTGTCTCTCAGAGGAATGTCTCTTATCTCTGTCTTCACACATCATCTTAAACAACCAATATGTAATGAATCAGGTAGGTTTCAAAGGACAGCCTAGTTTTGTTTTCAAAATTAAAACATGACCCCTATGTTCTATTTTTAAAACCAGAACACGGTTGTTTGGGTGTTGTGGACCTCTGTCCATCGTCAGATTATGACTGCAATAAATGTGTTGAAGGTTAGTGTTTCCTGGCGGCTCTGGTGTGATCTCTCTTGTCTTATCAGAAATGCATCTCCAGCTGATGAAGCAAAGGTTAACTTTCTGTCTAATGAATCATAGAAATCACTCAAATATTACAAATCATCAACATGTGCCTTCAATATTTTGTAAAGACTTATAACGCAATACCAATTTCAACATCTAGAGACCATTGAAGGGCATTTCTGTTTTTTTCCTGAGGAACCTCTAAAATATTCCATAGACCATAAATTCTTTCAGATTGTCCAATAAGGTTTAAGAGGGAAGGGATTGCTGTGATATCAGAACCAAATGGGACTTTGCCACAGAGCCAGCCCACAAACATTGGTAACAGACTGACCCTGCAGGTTAATTTCACTGTGGCAACACATCGCTTATACCTCGACTGATGGGCTTCTGTGGCACCGGACAACTCTGATTTCTACTTTGCAAGTACGATGACTTTTACAATTTACCTTGTGTGCTTTTACAAAAACTATCTATAAAGAATTATGACATGAATGCAATTTACTAGTGTCTATGCTGAGGAAAAAGTGCTTTTTGTTTCTTAAAGCACCTTCAGAATTCTTGTTGTAAGAATACTCAAATATTTGTAAAATGGTTTAAATTGTCACAAATGCAGCTGCATAGGTGCACAAATTCCACAGACTAATACTCCATAATATTAGCAACAGCCAAGCGAGATAGAAGGGAAATAATTAACTACAAGTTGTAAAAGTTAAACATTATAACTCATTTAAAACAAACAGCAATTATTAAGTACTGCCAAGCTTGAACTGAAGAGACGTCTCGGAATTTAAAAGGACATCGGGGAATTGATTTTCGTTTTTAAATATTTTATATTTTTCCTATTAACCTAATGTTTGTGAATTCCTGTTAAATACGGGGAAACATCAACATGTGTTGTTATATAAACTGCATTGATTGGAAGTTGTTTGAGGATTAGCCCTCATAACACAAACTATTTCCAGGCAATACGGTGAGAGTTATACAAGAAAACATGAGGTGTTCTTTAGGAACTAAGACATTTCATTCAGGTTTGAGATTCAAGCTTAGGTACAGATTGCTCTTATATAGGCTACCAAAGATTGTAGTGGCACAGTCTCTCAGTGTAATCACAAAATGGCTCAAAAAAGAGTTTGAAAAGTGAAGGAAAAAGGTTAAATTGATCTAAAAAAGGCAGTGAAATATGTAAAAAGAGGTTAAGAAATTGAGAATAACAAAAGCACACAGCAAGGCTACCGGAAATGTTCAGAAATATATATATTTGGAACCACCATACCTTAATAACATAGGCTTGCCTTATAACCTACACTTGTCCTTCTCCATGGACTGCTTGACTGCTGTGTAGAAATCAACAGTCTGTAAGTAACTGTGACACGGCTGCTTATTCACCTGCTTACAAATGAGTGGTAACCATATACCATCACCACCTGCTACAAAAGCATTGTGACACAATAATGAATGACAATGTTAAATATATCTGTAGTCTAATTATAGTTATATGCTTTATTGAAACACTCAAGTTATGTCACTATGTTTGTTTTCTTTTTCAATTATTTCTTAAGAGAGTGGAAAACAGCAAAATCTTATTTAGATTAACATTTGCCTGACCGAAAGTAAGGATGTGTTGTAAGCCATTTATCATAAACTGAGATAAAGACCAGCTACATGTTCTCAACTGAGTCAATTAAGCAGTAAACTTTCTAGATGAAAGTCGAACTGACTTCTTGGACGGAATAATATCTCTTTAAAAACACATTGATCTGTGAGTGGGTTAACAAGCTGAAACTTGATAGCGTGCCTTTCATCAGTGACAACTTAAGCAAATGTCCGATTACAAGTCTCGAAGTACAGTATACGGTATAAGAAAGTGATAACAATGTACTGACAATACAATATAATGTGTGTTTTATGTTCTATCGAGTAAAATAGGGGTGTGGTTAAAGTCTGACATCTGAGGAAGCATTTGGAGGTGATAGCTATTAGAGGTGGTTGGAGGATAATACTTGACCCCCCTTAGGACATAAATAGAGGTCACATTTTGCTTAATTAACCAAGACACACTTTCTTGGAATTATATTACTTGAGCACTTCATGACAATTGTGCATGCATGTATGGCAACAAAAACATAAAGTCCCATTACTTTTTTTGATTTTTCTAAAATTAGTCAGTTTAAGACTTTTTAAAAGGTTGTGTCTCCTTTGCCAATATGTTTTGGGTCCTAAACAAAGAGATAAGAAAAACCCATTAAAAGAGGTAACTCTCTGTGGTAAACAGTAAATATTGTCGGATGGTCATCAAATCAAATCAAATCATGTTTTATTTATATAGCACATTTTAAAAACGATTTTTGGTCGAGCCAAAGTGCTGTACATGCAAATAATAAATAACACATTACTACAATCGCAAACAGAAGACAATAAATTACAACAGCAAATATAAAAATCAAACACAGGGAAATGTCATGAGTCGTGCTCCGCTCTGACTAGAAGGCCAGGGAGAAGAAGTGAGTCTTTAGTATTGATTAAAAAAAACCTAGGGTCTGGGCCGACCTCACATGCAGGCAGAGTGTTTGGTCATGACCAAATCTATATGTAAAAGAGTGTCTAAAAGAAAACGAAATTATTGTTCTTTTGTATGTTTAAGTCAACAAAAAAAACACAAAACAATATACATAGTGTATAGAAATCAAAATCAACACTTATTGTCATTCATTTCAAAAGAAAAAAACATGCTTTTTATAATTTAGTTTAAGCTTTTAATTTAATAATAATTTAATAGGTTTTTTTGGATAATTGAAAATGCTTATTTTATGTTATGTTGATTATTAAAGAAAATATTTTAACAAGCTGAATAAAAACAAAACCTCTGCATGGTAACATGTGGCCCTAATGCAGACATTAAAGTGTTTATAGAGCAGCTTGCAGTCTTGACAATATCCAGGCCGTAATGGTAAATAATCAACCAGTAAAGAAATGTTGATCTTGAAGTACATTTTTCACACCCTGAGCTGGGCACTGCTCAAGTCGCTTGCTTCTGACAGCCCGAGGCACGGTGTGACCTCGGTTGCTCACTCAATCATGAAGGATTCAGCTGAACAAACAAATCTGAGAAAATGTACCATTTAAGTCACATGTAATGGGCAAAATACATTCACTCCAGCTCCTTTGTCATCCTAACATGCATTTTCTCCTTCCATTTTTCTTCATACAGGAGTCTGAGAGGCAGTTTTATTCAAAATGAGCACAGAGAGGAGTGAGCAAGTCATCATTGATACCAACTTCACCACAATCCACACACTGGGCAGGAAAAATGAGGGCAGGCGGCTGCGCTACATGCAGAAAGATGGCAGGTTCCCAGTGGTTTTCCAGAAGGCCCCTGGATACTGGACCCCATACCTCATGGACATCTTCACCACCCTTGTGGAGATCCGTTGGAGGGTGACGCTCCTGGGTTTCTCTCTGTCTTACATTCTATCTTGGCTTTTTTTTGGTCTCTGTTATTGGCTCATTGCGAAAGTACACGGTGACATTGACGATGTATCTAACAGTCCCTGCGTGGAAAACGTGCGTGGCTTCACTGGAGCCTTTATGTTCTCAATGGAGACCCAGGCGACGATTGGCTACGGCTTTAGGGGGATGACTGAGAACTGTATGGTGGCCATTATTTTGGTGACGGTTCAAGATGTATTCAGCTGCCTCCTGGACACCATCGTCATTGGCATTGTTATTGCTAAAATGGCCTCCGCTCGTAAGAGAGCTCAGACGGTTGGTTTCAGCAGCTGTGCGGTGGTCAACCTGCGGGACAGGGTTCTGTGTCTGTCATGGCGACTTGGGGACTTCAGGGGAAATCACATCCTGGAGGGTGTCGTCAAGGCCATGTTAGTCCGCTATATGAAACAGCCAGGGGGATCTGTTGTGATGTCATACCAGGACGTGTACATCCAGGATCGAGACATTGTCCTCGCCACTCCAGCCACCATTGTCCACAAGCTGGAGCCTGGCAGTCCCCTCTACAGCATGGGCCCTGACGACCTGCTGGGGGAAGACTTTGAGCTTGTGGTGTCTTTCACCTACAACGGTGACTCTACGGGGATGCTCCACCAGTCTCGAACCTCCTATACACCAGCAGACATCCGCTGGGGCCAGCGCTTCCAGGACATGCTGAAACTGGGCAAGAAGCACTACAAGGTGGACTACGCTCTGTTCAATGTGACCACGTGGGTTCCTGTGCCACTGCTCAGTGCAGAGGAGTTGGACAGGAGGGGACGTCCTGTAGAGGGCAGTCTGTCCCGCGGTCCTCTCGTTGCATTGGGCAAGAGGAACACTTGCAGAAAGAATACTCACAACACTGGAGAGGTGATGCAGCAAACCTGTTTGTGATTAAAAATAGGATGATTGGTGATGGACAGTGTGATAAGGTGTGCTCTTGTAAATATATTTATATGTGAATTTATAGACATTGGTTATAATCTGTTTTGAATGGTTGAGATGAATAAAATGCAATACCACAAATGTAATTTGTTGACATTCATAAAATTTGTTCTGGTTGAGTAAATACGTTCTCGATACCTGACTTTCCAAAAACACAAAAAATCCAAAATTAACATATTGATACCATAGTATAATAATTTATAATAACAATAAATACACAAATAATCAGTAAGTCAGCTTTATACTTTAACACAAAATATATCAATCTTTCAAATAACATGGAACACAAACAAAAGCTGCCTTTTAAACTCAGAAACATGAATTATAATAATAACAATGTCACCACATTATGTGATGCCAGCCCTTGGTTGTCCTATTTGCAGATATACATCGCCACCTTGTGTTCACCGAGTGCACTCAAAAGCACTCTAGCAGTGATGCTTATTTTGGAAAGTCACAGATTTCACATATAGAATTTACTCCACAATGACCAAAATATTTTTCTATTCTCAGACAGTATCTATAGGACAAAAACGAATTATCAAGTTAATACTTTGAATACTTTCACAAATGTATACAGTGTTTTTTTTAGCGGCTTTGGAGATGCCCTGTTCTCAATCTGACGTTTGTTTCCTGTTAAATCAACGTCATGGTTTCAGAGAAAAGTGGGTTTGACTCTTCCTGTCATACACCCAGACCGATAATGTAAAACCACCATGTGGGCTCAGACCCTCTAACAGGCGCTGCACATTTTAATTGGTCGCTACAGTGATATGGGCGGGGATAGGCACACGTGTTTTTAAAGTATGTCTATGCAACGAGAAACATCTACTTCAGTATTGCTGGAGAGGGTTATGGCAGAATTTGCATCGCCAGACGGGAAGCTATGTAAACCTAATAAAAGAACAGCAAGAATAAAAGGGACGCAGTGTGCATGTGTGGAGCATATGGGACCCATAACAACAAGGACGCGGACAATTTGCAACGCAATGGCCAACAGGTAGGTGTAATAGGCAGGGCATATTTATAATTAACTCATAAAGTGATGTTGTCTGAAAAATAAATCTGCTCTGCATAACTTATGTGAAACCTCACTTCAAACGTAAAAGTAAATTGATGTCCTGTAATAATTTCAATTACGGGGAAATACAGTTATTTATTATTAACAATATCTGCATGTATTATCATTATTATTATTCATATTATTATTATTGTGGTTATTACAAATTTGTTTTGCTTCTTCTACTATTGGAGATTGCAGGATGTAGATGACGTGATCTGTATCGCTGACTTCCTTTGATTTAACTAAAGTATATAATACTATACTGATCTTGTTGTGTACAACAAATCTAAATATGACTTTAAGGTATATGTAAAATTACAGCAAACAACTAAATAGTATTCTCTCTTAAAAGTATTAGTGTTGTAAAGGTTTAAAACAAAAAATGCTGTCTGTTGAAAGATTGGTCATAGTTATTGATTGGTGTAATGAAAAATGGAGCAGCTTTATGTAACCAGTTTCCATCTGCCTCAGCTGTTGGCTCTAATTGAGAACACACGCAAAACAAACAATCACAAGTTTTGCCTCCTCTGGCCTTGAACTATCATAAGGTACCAACCTGCAGCAACAAGGGATGTTATATAGTGAGCACATATGAGATTAGTGACCAAAAAGCCATTTGCATTGAGAGAAGAGAGTGACATAAGTGCGTGTAGTGTGAGCTCAGTGTCAGTGCATCAACACCACGAAAGGTAGAGATTGATTTGCAATGGGGGTCAGCTGTGTTTAAAATGTGTCCACTGTTTAATCCAGGCTGCTTAAAATATGAATCACACACTCTTGAAGGATCTTTAGCATTGTAGCCTAAACTGTGTGCATCATAGACTTTCGTTAAGTCTGCCTTGTTCCAGTAATATAATACAAAATACTGAAACAAAACAAAAAGGTCACTAAATAGAAAGTACGCTCATTATTGAAACCGGATATCGTCCTTCTAATAAGGACATCATTTATATCATTACTGGGGAAAGCATTTCATAATAAGTAATTAAAAACATGCAGAAATAAGATAATGGTACATGTTCTATCATACAATTACTGTATGAATGGTGCCTCATATTCCCAATAGTGTGCGTGACAGGTTGCTATTTGTAGTCGACCCAGCAGTGACATCATTACTTGAGAAAAACAAAGATGATGCTGGTGGGGGATTTAGCACCAACCCTGCAAATCTTATCCTACATGACTTCTGATCACTTTCAGAGTCGTTCACTAAATGAAATTACTGTTTCCTGTGTTGACACCTGAACTCTACAGTATACTATAAAATTAAATCATTGATAATGTATTAAGAATATCTACTGAAAAGTTCCTGTAGACTAAATGGATCTTTTCACTCTGACACAACAGTGACTCTTCGATGAGACAGTGTCAAAGTGGAGTTATTTTGGCACTAGCAGAGCATGTCTGGCTGACCATGGCCCTTTGTAGCCTGTGGTGGTGCATTTTAATGGACCTCTCACAACACACAAACCAAGTCAATAGCTTTTTTAATTTAGTTGTCCTTGCGGCTCTATTACATATGATGGAAGGTTATTGTCGCTTTCGGAGAAATAGACCCATCCTCTCTGAAAGGCAGCGGGAATAATTCAATCTCCTCCATGATTTAGTTGATTTATCAAACCGTAGTTGTGAATAAACAGTGGCTATGTGTATTCTTCTCGTGTTGCTTTCTCACTTCTTTGGAACAGAGTTTTGAGACACATCTGCAAAGAGCTACAACATGTCTTTGTTTCAGTGGCTCAATAGATTAACATGATTACATGATGTAATTTGATTCAGCTCCCGTGGTCTGAACTGACTACTTAATACTTACGTTTAGCAAGGAACACATCCTATCCTACTTTGGCAGCTATCAAAGTGCTTGAATAATATAGTTAATCTACTTGTAATGCACGACGCATTCCCTGTGCTTTCTGACTGCACCACACACATTTGTATATCGTCAGTGTAGGTAAGAATAGCACAGATAACTATGAGTGTGCAGTGCATTATTTAGACGGCAGGTAACCACACACCCACATGCACTGATCTTTGCTCTGGTTCCTGCTGATTACTTTAAAGCGTTTTTTCTCTCTTGTTAATTTCCGCAGCCCACTTCACTGATGAGGTCCAAAGCAGCCATCAGATAGGAGTGACCTGCCCTCACCAAAGGTGCACAACCCGCCTGCAGCAGCACGGACCTGCCCTCCATTGGTCCCCTTAGGGTCTAGTCCTGTTGTCCACATTTTCTTCTTGAGTTTGTCCCCAGGATCATTCAAAACTGTTTCTCCAACGCTTCTACCAAAAACTTAGACTGTTTTCCAAAGCAGATTCGGCCCAGCCCTCCCAGGCGGAAGTCATGGGGAGTGTGCGAAGCCACCGTTACAGCATTGTCTCCTCTGAGGAAGACGGCATGAAGCTGGCCACTATTGCCGTACCAAATGGCTATGGAAACGGAAATGTCAAAAAGGTGCACACAGCGCACCACCAACAGAGCCGCTTTGTCAGGAAGGATGGCCACTGCAATGTGCAGTTTATCAATATGAGTGAGAAAGGCCAGCGGTATCTGGCAGATATCTTCACTACCTGCGTGGACGTCCGCTGGCGCTGGATGGTGCTCATATTCTGCCTTTCTTTCCTGCTGTCATGGTTGTTCTTTGGCTTTATCTTCTGGTTAGTGGCCCTCTGTTACGGGGATTTAAACAATTCGACTCAGATGTGTGTTTCCAATGTGGACAGCTTTACCGCTGCCTTCTTGTTCTCAGTGGAGACCCAAACCACTATTGGCTATGGATATCGCTATGTGACGGAGGAGTGCCCCATTGCGGTCTTTATGGTCGTCTTCCAAAGCATTGTGGGATGCATCATCGACGCTTTCATCATCGGTGCTGTCATGGCCAAGATGGCCAAACCCAAAAAGAGGAATGAAACCCTGGTGTTCAGCCATTATGCTACAGTGGCCATGAGGGATGGTAAACCTTGCTTGATGTGGCGCGTGGCGAACCTTAGGAAGAGTCACCTGGTGGAGGCGCATGTCAGGGCCCAGCTGCTCAAGTCCCGCACAACCGCAGAGGGAGAGTTCATCCCTCTGGATCAGGTAGACATTGACATAGGCTTCGATAGTGGCATTGACAGAATCTTCCTGGTATCTCCAATCACCATCGTCCATGAGATTGATGAGGACAGCCCATTCTATGATATGAGCAAACAGGAGTTGGAGACGTCAGAGTTTGAGATTGTGGTGATTCTGGAGGGCATGGTTGAGGCTACAGCCATGACCACTCAGTGTCGGAGCTCTTACTTGGCCAGCGAGATCCTCTGGGGCTATCGCTTTGAGCCAGTGCTCTTTGAAGAAAAGAACTACTACAAAGTGGACTACTCTCGATTTGAAAACACGTATGAGGTGCCCAGCACACCCCACTGTAGTGCAAGAGAACTAGCCGAGAGGAAATCCAGCGCCTCCAACTCGACGAGGAACTCCTTTTGCTACGAGAACGAGGTGGCTCTCGAAAAAGTTGAGATGGAGGAGGAGTTCGAGGAGGAGGATGAAATCAGGGAGATAAAGGCTGTTGAGGTATGTGCACTTGATGACACAAATACAGATGTGGTGTCAGACTCTGAGTGCAATCTGGACTCTTTGCCCTTAGAATCAAGGCCTTTGACAGCAGAATCTGAAATATGACTGCAGGGATAAAGAACGGTTAAAAACTACCACATGGTATTTTAAAACTTTTACATTTTACCCTGTTGGCTGTTGTTTGTTATGCATGACGGTTTGTTAAAGACTGTGTCTTGGGTAAAAAAGTTCTCTATGCAGAAGCTCACGGACACAACACCATGGGAATCCAGAGATGGTATATTGTTTATGATGAAACTGGTGATAAATGACCTGCTTGGATGGATCTAA